TTCCCAGTATATCTCTCCCCCACTATTTCCTCTTTCCAAACTGACAGTCTCTATACCCTTTCTCCTTTCCCTGCTTCCTTCTGTCCTTCTCTTCCAGCAGCCAGCCTACCTTTTATCTGCCTCCCCATCTTCAGCTGTATTATTTATTTACTTCATTTATACCCCACCTTTCTCCTCAATGGGGATCCAGAGCACCTTATGTGCTCTCCTCCATTTTATCTTCATCAACCCTTTGAGGTAGATTCAGCTGGGACTCTTATGACTGGCCCAAGGTCACCCAGTGAGCTTCCATGGCAGCGTGGTGATTCAAACATCTGTCTCCTGGATCCTAGACTGAAACTCTAACCACTGCACCATACTGGCTTTTGTGCAGTGGCCGCTTTTGAACTGTAGTGAGCATCTGGGCCTGCCAGTGGTTGCTGCTTAACCTGGCCCCAATGAGTCCACCCTCAAAGAATAAAACAGTCCTAGAAAGGACCCTGCCCCCTCCTGCTGCCTTCTACCAACAGAAACTAAGACTTGAGGGATGGAAATATTGTTGTGGTTGCCTAGTGACCCCCACAATGGCTACTGTAGAGGGCATTTGTTTCTTAAAGGTACAGGTGCTACTTCTATTTTGAAGGGTTTTAACCCCGTAATGTATTTTCTTTTCCAAATTTCAAATATTTCTGCAAACCTGCAACTGTTTTCAGGTTTGTAGAAAGATCTGTCGTCTATTCATCACTCCAGTTTCTGGATTTAAGTATCCACAGATGGGGCCATGTTGAGAATTAGATATACAAGAGGGGGACCCGCGATACTCGCGGGGGGGGAGAAGAGCTCCGTCTCCTCTCCCCCCGCTCGTTCTCCCCCAGGTGGCGGCGGCGAGGCCGGTCCCCCCCCCGCACGGCTCCGAGGCGGAGAGGCCTGTCCTCCCCCCCCTTTGCCGGGCTCGGCCACTGCCCCCTATAGAGGGTGGTGGCTCGGCGGCGGCCGGCGAGGCCTGTCCTCCCCCCGGCGGCGAGGCCGGTCCTTCCCCGCCCTCCCCCTCGCTCGCGTGTTCGCCTGCCCGGCCGGCAGGCCAGCCGGCTCCAAAGAGGAGGAGGAGGAGGCGGCGGTGGCGGCGGCGGCAGCGAGGCCGGTCCTTCCCCTCCCGCCCTGCCTGCCTGCCTTGCCTGCCTGCCTGTCTCCCTTTCCCCGCACGCAAGCCCGGTAGGTCGCAGAGCGTCTCCTGCGCATGCGCAGGAGACGCTCTTGCACTTTCGGGGGGATTTAAACATCCCCCCGAAATTTTTTCCACTTTTTTTATTTTTGTGCACATGTGGGGACTGGGCCACGTGTGCACAAACCTCCCCCGGTCCCCCAGCTGCCCCCGGAGCGCTAATTTAGCGATCCGCACTCCGGGGGCAAGTTGGGAATTAGATATATAGATTGGCACACTGAAAATGAATGCATTCTGCATAAAATTGCAAGTGATAGTTCAGTAGTCAGGTTCTCAGGAGATTCTTTTGTGGTGTGGCAAAGGCTCCTTTCTGTTCCAGCTGTATTTGGAGAACTGTGTTTACCAGTGAACCATCTAATAAGTAAAGAAGAAATAACAGGGGAGATAGACAGAACCTAGAGCTGTTCAGCATCAAGGCCTCTGTATGGGGGATTTGTAAAATAAAGCTAGAAGTTTTTTGTGTTTTGGCAATGAAGTAATTTTTCTTTCCTGCGATTCTACCATATCTAAGCAGCATAAGTTTGTTTTTCTTTTTGTTAAGTTTGTAGGTCTTCTTGAAATAAACAGTAGAACTCTTAGGAACTGAGGGTTATGAGATATGAAAGAGAAAGGGGGGAAGGGAGTTAAATTTGAGAACTGGGGTAAGATGGTTAGTTTTAATTTGATTAAAACAGCAGTTGCTCTGATAATTTGCCTTTAAGTTTGTAGTCATTTTTATGGCTTTCCCCCACAAAGCCAGATCTTGTCAGTGTGGATTATAGTGTCAATTCAACTAAAGTAAGTATAGTCTTTTCATTAGATAAAATTAATAAAGTTATGACTATTGTTAGCCAAATTGCCTTGAATTATTAATTAGTCTAGGGGAAGTTATGATTATTAATTGGCAATAGGGAAATTAGGGTTCACACCAATGTATGCACCTTTGCTGTAAGCACCAGAACAGACACAGGGACTGTATTCAATTAAATATATTGTCTTTTTACTGGGGAATATATATCATTCAAACAATACACAACCACACACACATTTATACATATATTAAGAAATAAAGATCCTTAACACAGTTGCTTTAGCAGGACATTCGTTGGTTGGGCAATATTTACCTGTCTACATTAATTGAGCCGTTCCAATGGAGGAATGGAGGGGTTTATAAATAGAAAATGGGGAACACGTGCTCTGAACCAGCAGAACCACGTGGACTCTAGCTGCAGACTAAAGGTTAAAGATGGAGATGGGGTATATGGATAGCAAGCTGGACATAAGAGGGTTAAAGCATTCGATAGGGGTCGTGGAGAGAGTAAGAGAGAGACCATGTGGTCGGGCAGCATCTTTTATAATGTGGTGGTGGCTAGGCTGGCCACACACCTCTGTGACACCTTCTGTTAGTCTGTCCCATAAAACATACTATTGGTTGGCTGGAAGAGGGGAGGGGGACTAAGGAGTGGTCAATATTGAGAGCTAGAAACTTAGACTGAGGACTGGCACCTGGATGAAGGATGATTGAATCATCAGGCTAGGGCTATTGTCTCTTGATGGCCCTAGCCTTGCTGATGGGTGAGCAATTAGTTGCTATTCAACCATGAATAGAGTCTCTTGATTAGATTTGTAGGTAGCTGGGAGAGGGGGAAGAGAGGTTGCCTACATGTGTTGGAAGAAGCTCCTAATGGCGTCTGGAGTTCTCTGTCCTCATGTTTTTCCATGGCATGGCGTCTGAGGCTTTTTACAGGCTTATGGAACTGCTTCATCTCACAGCAGGCAAGATGGCTGGTGACTCTGGACTATCACTGTGGCAGCAACACTAAAGGAAGGTTTCCCTCTTTCAGGTGTGCAGTCTCAACAGATATTCTCAGGTCTCCATATTATACAGTCCCTTTGCACAGTTCATATTCCATAAAAACACATTGATAGGCTTGCATGGCAACACTATAGCTACAGTGTTATCTGAGTAATAGTTAGGTACAAGTGTAGGCCCATGATACTTGCAGGGAGATTTGCTCACACATCCACTTTCTTGCTGGGTCTGCACCCAGTGTGACTGCCAGGCCTGTTCCGCTGCTGCCTGCAGGCCTGGCATGATTCCCGGGCTGTGCCACCAGCAGCTGCATTTCCAGTGCGGCTCCTGGGCTGCAGTGACGATGGCGTGGCTGGCATGGCTGCCAGGCTGCAGCTGCATGCCTGATGCGGCTCCTGGGATGCACAGCCACTTCTGGGCCCAGCACGAAGACCCAGGCTGTGGAGCTGCCTCCTCTGCCACTGAACCCAGTACGGAGCTCTTGACTGTGCAGCTGCTCCCTGATGCCACCACCGCCAAAGTTAAGTGTGTTCCCTGTGCTTGTGGAGATAAGGCTCCTGTACCTTTGAGGGGATTTAACACCCCCTGTATTTTGTTTGTTTCATTTTCAGATTTTTCTGCAAACCTGGGGAGTGCCCTGGATTTACTGAAAAATCTTCTTAGCCTCTGTGTGGCCCCAATCTGTGTATTTAGCTATCTGCAGATGGGGGGCATGGGTGGCTATTAGAATATAAGATTGGGAAAGGAGTGCTGTAGCCTCCCTGTGGGGGGAAAATGCTGAAGCTTTATCAGATGATTTTGGCTGTAAGAGCTATTGAGCCCAGCCTACAGAGGGATAGGTGGATCCTCTGAATCTGTCAAGTTTGAACTACTCAGCTGTGTATATTGTTTGCAGACCATTGGAGTGATAACATTTAAGTAGGCATCATTTTGCCTTTTCTTAACCACTAGCATCTGAATAATTCTTAAGTGGCTGATGCAAAATTGTGAAGGACTGTTGTCCCCTCAAAATCCAAGCCTGATGACTTTTCAGGATTGTCAGTTTGGCCTGGGAAAAAAGTTAAGCAGGTGAACTCTTCCAAACTCTGTATTTTAAAAACTTTTTAATATATAATTTGCACATATGTAGGTAGAACTTGGATGCTCTATTTGTATTGTAAATTTAGTCTTAACCTCTTGCTACCCACCCCAAGCCTTTTGGAAAAATCTGAGCAGGAGAAAAGGGTGATTTACAAAAAATCCCATTCTAGGAGTTTAAACATGAAGGGGGCTGAAACTGTACTCTTGCAAGAAGGGGGACCTGTGATCCTTTCCAGAGGAGGGAAATCCCTTTTTCCTCTCTGCCAACCACTGCTTTCTGCTCTCTTTCCTTTTCTTATGAACTTGTGGCTTATCCTAAGTTGCTAAAATCAATATCTTAGCTGCTCCAAAGCAGTTTTTGATTCCATGGGAATGGGTTGGGTATATAAATACTTGGAGCTTTTGATACTGTTGTTTATGTACTGACAGCTTAACAGTCCTGGCTCCTAGTGATGCCATTGATGCAACATCCTTAAGAGGCTTCAATGTCAGTGTAATGCCATTCTGTGGTTGTGGTATATCTTGTGCTAATTGTAGACGGTTTCTAGATATGCATTCCAAAAAGTGTTCAATAGCTGCATGTCAGCATTATGTAAATGCATTTGACTGATGCCCAGATTGTACAGACAAGCTTTGTGCCCTGACTTTTGTTTGAGTTTGTTCAGAAGGTTTAATGCTCTTAGAATTTAGTCATCGAGGCATGCTTTCCTGCAATCTTTTTTTTTTAATCTGTTTGGTTTTGCTTCCCTGGTACGTTGGTTTTAGAGATTAAATGAGATGGAAAAGACCTACTACCCAGGATGCTTTGTTAGTAGGAGGGGGCAAATTTGATTGCCGTCAGCACTGGGTTACCATATGGGTGCTTAAAAGCATTTGGCTTGCAGATGATGACACTAAAAATAGCTTCTGAACATAGTTGCAGCTGGGTCCGATTTCAGGCTTTAGCTGAGTTGGCTGTAAGAAACTTTCTTTGCTGCTGTTGCAAGGCTTATGTGAGGGTGAATTTTTGCTGATTCTATCTTGGACACTGGTTTTATAATCAGGTTTACTTTATTCATGGATAAAAGACACTGATGCCATGGCTGAAGACTCAGGTATGTTCTCTCAGCTCGGAATAACAAGTTGTCTGTAATGTGGTGGTTGCTGTGTAACTTTAATCTGAATATTTTGTAAAAAGTTTAATTTCTATTACTGGTTTTAGGTAAATACATGGAACCGATGACTTAGCATCATATTTGATCTTGTGACTCTTAAACAAATGAAATTATATTACACAGCAAATTATCTTAGATCCTTTATAGCAAATAGGACATGTTAACATTGTTAGTAATTTAATACACAGTTTGTAAGCGATCCTTTCAAATATTGTATGGGTTTTTGAAGGTGCATAATTATATTGCTAGAGGTTTGTGGTATCTTTGTAAACATAGCAAAAGCAAAGGTTTACCAGATTTGGAAAGTAACCTACTTTCTACATTGCTGGCAGTACTTAAGGGCTTCAACTTTAATTTAGCTCTCTAGAATGAATTAAAATTGGTAAATAAATCTAATATATGTTATTAGTATTGGCTCATGATTGACACTCTTATTGTTAAATATCACAGATAAGTTAATGACCCCTTCCATCTCCAACAGAAAGAGATACAGTTGTAATTAACTAGTAAAGAGGACTCAGTGAGTTGGCAGTAAAAGCTTCCAATAAATCACTTTTTCAGTAAATGTTTGGATTTTTTCACTGATTTGCATATTTATAGAAGTAATGGTTTCATAATTTAAAAACAATTGTTTAGAAAATTATATAATGCAGTATTTGCAGTGAATAGCATTTTGGCTGCTGTTCAGAGAAAATGATCTAACATTAACTTTGAGAGCATGTATTCATTATATCACTTGCTGAATATTATATGTATCATTGACTTTCCTGTCTGTGAAGTCACTCGGCCTAATTTTATCTCCATGACTTTGAGTTATGGTAGTATTTTAGTAGTAATTGATTATACATCTTTTTTTCTGTGTGCAATTCCTGTGTGTGTTATATGAGCACCTCGATTAATGTGAAGCATTTTGTGCCAGTAGCTGATGAACAGTGTTCTCTGTGCTCCTGATGGCCTTTAAACTGATTTAGAGCCTAAATGACAGACAGTAGTGAGCTCATATATTACCTTATTTTGGTAGACTTAAAAGTTCATGATACTACATGTACATTTAGCTGAAAAAATTATTATAAAAAGTATTACATGTATTATATGTCTGTAGCTCTCCTTTATAATCTAAAACATTTCTTAAGGAACACCGTCTCCTGGGGGGGGGGGTGTCGGTGAACATGGCAAAATTCAGTTGAGAGGCAGAAGCTGAAAGCTCTACTACTACAAAATGGATCCTGAATGGAATTTCTTAAAAATGAGTTTGTGTACAAGGAATTTTTAGTGGCAGCTGGATAATAGAAGTTGCATGGAAGAATGTGGGAGTAGCTGTTTTGCTGGAGGAGGGGAAAGTAAAGATTTTTTCATTGTGATGCTGTTCAAGCAGATTCAGTAATGTAAAGTTAAGTAATTCTGGCCCATAACATGTAGTGAGGCTTAGTAAAATGTCTATCAGTTCAAATGAAAGGCACACTAATGCTGTTCTGTATCTAGAACTTTTGCAACTATTAAAATTTAGCATTTAGCTTTGGCTTTTAATTGTTCCAGAATATGGCATATAAATTCCATTAGTGTTGCATGTGGGGCTCCCATTGAAAAATGTTCATAAACTTGTACTGGCTATGAATACAGCAGCTAGATGACTATATTTTTACATATAAGTATTCAGGAGGCAACTTATTACAAAGTAAAAACAACAGAAGTGCTTGACATAAATTAAAATAGCAGTAAACAAGATAAAGGGGATAAAAGATAAGACATCACAGTAAAAATAAGGGTAATTTTTAAAAGACTTTGACACAGCGTAAAAGCAGAAAGTTAACTTTTAAAAGCATTGGTATAAAAACAGGGCAACAAATTTCCATTAAATAGAGGAAATTTTCTGAAACAACAATGACATAAAAGCTGGGTAGTGATAGAACCACATCTGGGAGGTGAAGATTTCCAAGATGTCCAGAATAGTAAATAGGTCTTTGGCACAAACCAAAGATAATCTAGCAACAGTTATTGCATAAGTATAATATATAGGTCATTTTCACCAGATAATATACATATATCCTTGTAATGATTTCCAGTCTGTATCTCAGCTCCTCCTTCCCCATCTCTCAAGCAGATATAGCTGTTGAATTCTCTTCTGTAATTTATTTAGGGTTGGAGGGGAGAGCATATTAAACAGTGAGCTTCTTTGGTAACAAAATTTCGTTGAAACTGAGGTATTGTCTGATACTTTAGTTTTGAGAGCACAGCTGTTGACATAGTGGCATCAAGAAGCTCTTTCCCATGTAAATAGTTGAAACTACTATGTTGAGGGGCTATAGCTCAGTATCAGAGCATCTGTTTGTCATGTGGAAAGTCCCAGGTTTAATCCCTGGCATCTCCAGTTGAAAAGATCTAGTAGTAGGTGATAAGAAAGACTTTATGCCTTGGACCCTAAAGAACTTCTGCAGTTTGAGTAGACAGTAGTGTCTCTCCACTAGGCATCTTGGGAAATCAGAGTATTCCTTTCAGAAATTTGCATTCAAAAAAAATGTGTCAGCATTGAGATATCATAACAAGATGGAGCTTAATCAAACCGGGAAATGTTGGATAACTCTGCAAATACTAGAGCAAGAAGTTGTTGGGATGAGAGAGCAGTATATAAAAGCACAGCAAGCATACTGTCTTTGTGCATGGCATCTGAATGTTGCCAGAAAATACTTCAATAGCTTTTTGAGTGCTAATTTCAAATTTAATAAGCAAAAGCTCTTCCTTCAAGATTCAAAAAGGATAAGATTAGCAGTATGTAGATATAAAAGTTTCACTGCAAATTTAATTAAAATAAATACCAGTTATTAATCAACTCAAATATTAGGGTTGCCAGACTCCAGCCTTTGCAGGGCACTTCCCCACCACTGGCTAGCTGGCCAGTGGGAAATCCCATCCCCAACTGACCCAAAAGTTGACATGATGAAGTCACCTGGAAGTGACATGATCACGTTGCATGGTGACTCTAGTTTTTGGGCAAAACTCTGTGGTAAAATTGGCTATAAACCATAGAGCCAAAAAACTAGAGCATAACTCCCGATGTCAGCGATGTGATGATGTCATTTCGGGGTGAAGGCATCACCCCGCACAAGTTTTATGCACATGGCAGAAGATCCTAGAAAGGACCAAGGATCCTCCTGCCGACTGCCAGGTAGGACCTGGTGACTCTATAAAATATATATCTGGTGTAAGCTAAATCTGAGTCATGTTGCATTCTATGTATACAGTCTTGATTGAATCCATGATGATAATAAACCAAGTAAAGATTCTATAGTACAGAAAAGATTATGAGGAAAAACTTCAGGTTTGAACCATTAGTCATATAATACCTATTATAGTAAATTATCAGTATTTATGTACCTATCAAACAGTATGGACATCTGCTTTCTATTGTCACTGAAAAAATGTTCTGCCCTGTAGCCCACTGCTTATGGAATTTCTGGGCATTTAGCCCACAATCCAGTATACTTAATTTTGTATTCAGCCAGAGCTCTTGCCAGTTTGGTGTAATGGTTAAGAGCAGTAGGACTCTGATCTGCAGAACCAGGTTTGATTCCCCACTTCTCCACATAAAGCCAGCTGGGTGACCTAGGGTCAGTCACAGCTATCTCAGAGCGCTCTCAGCCCCACCCTACCTCACAGGGTGACTGTTGTGGGGAGAGGAAAGGAAGATGATTGTGAGGTGCTCTGAGACTCCTTTGGGTAGTGAAGGGCGGGGTATAAAACCAACTCTTCTTTTTCTGCTTGCTTAGAGTTTTTACACAGGCACAGCCAAATGCAGATTGATGAATTCCGCAGTCCCTGTGCTTTTTACTAAGTAGATATAATGTTATAGTGCGAAAAATATGTGCCAGTGTGACCAGAAGTTGTGGATTATGCTAAGGTAGTATAAAATGAATGTGTTTTAATTGTTTCAACAACGAATTAGTATGCACTCTTGTTCATGGAATATTTATTTATTTATTTGATTTCTTTCCTGCCCTCCCTCGCGAATACAAAATAGGAAACTTAAAATTATTTTTTCTTCTTCATTGAAAATGTGTTTATTACATTTTAAACATTTTTATCCCACCTTTGTTCCCAATTGGGGTACTCAGAACAGCAGCCAGTTAAAGAACATTAACAAACAACTTTAAAAACTATACATATAAACAGTAATTAAAAATACTAACAGGAAGGGGGTCAGTAAGGAAATGCCAAACAAACAGAAAGGTCTTCAGTCACTGTAAGAACATAATGGTAGAGGAGGGATAGATTAATCTACTTGGGGAGGGGGTTCTACAGTTTTAGTGCTGTGACTAAAAAGGCCTTTCTTTGATTGCTACCCATCGAGCCTAAGATGATGGGGCCACCTGAAGATGACTGTAATGGTTATGTAGGTTCATATGGGAGTAGGCAGTCCTTAAGATATAGGGCTTTAAAGGTCAATACCATCACCTTGGATCAGGCTTGGAAGCAAGTCAGAAGTAGTTTTAAACTACATTGGAATAATATGGTCCCTATGACCCACTCCAGTTAACATTCTTCTTCAGCGTTCTGTATCAGCTGTGGTTTCTGGACACTTTTCAAGGCTGCCTCACATAGCGTGTATTTCCACTAATCTAATCTAGATATTACCAAGACATGAACTAAGTGGCAAGATTTTTTACGCAGGAAGGGCTGTGGTTGGCCCACCAGCTGAAGCTGGTAAGAGGCACTCATATCCAGCACTACTACTTGCTTCTCCCAACAGTTGTCCGGATTAATCAGTAGATAATCTTAATAATTGCTGCATATATGTAATGAAACATATTATGCTGAATTTTGTAATAAAATGACCTGTTTTAAAATTTGAAACTATAGCTATGCCTTCCAATAGTAATTAAATTGCTTTATATTACAGAAACAAAACATGGAAACAAGAATGGCAAGAAAGAGGGCGTTTCTGGAAGTTCATTTTTTACGTGGTTTATGGTAATTGCACTGCTGGGAGTATGGACATCAGTTGCAGTGGTTTGGTTTGAACTTGTAGATTACGAGGAAGTCCTAGGTAAGAGTTCCATATAATGCAAACTGTAAAATAGAGTGATTAAGAGAATGTGTTCAATGTTTGCAAGCATCATGCAGTTATTGTTTTACAATTTTGGTTCAAAACTTCAACGATAATGGCTGCTTGTTCATTATTCATGTATTTGTTGCCAAGCATTGCAGATCTTTATTTAATTAAGGCTTATTTGTTATAAGAATGATCAAAGTTATATATACATTCCCAATATCAAAGAATTATAAGGGGGAAATGCCTATGTTTCATATATAAGAGTAGGAGGGTCATGTAGTTTATTTATTTATTTATTTTTTCAACTTATATCCCACCCTTCTTGCAAGTGGGCTCAAGGTGGGTAACAACAACAGAACACATCAACAATTAAGAAGAGAAGAAGAAGAAGAGACTGGATTTATACGCTGCCCTTAATTCAGAGTCTTGGAGCGGCTTAAAACAAGTTAAATAAACAAGTTAAAGCAAGTTATATAAGCAATAATAGTTAAAAACAGTTAAAACGAGAAAATATAGGTCTAGTTAGCAGCAGTTCATGGATCTCATGACATTATGTGTTTAGGGTGTTGTGAATAATGCTTTCTGTATTTTACCATGCATGCAGCAAAAGCAAAGGACTTCCGTTATAACTTGTCAGAGGTACTCCAAGGTAGGATTATAGAATATAAACTGTGTTTACGCTTCATGGGCATGAACTGTATAAACTTTTAAAAATGTGTACACACACACACACACATATATAAAATTGTTATTATTTCTTCTACAGCTTGTTTTGACTGACTCTGGTGGAGTTACCTTTTATATCTGAAAAGCTAATGTAACCATCGTTTTTTGTTTTTGAAGAATATTCGTGTAGACTTTATTGTTGTTCCTTGTGCCTTCTCCCTATATTATACATTATATTTCCCCATGGTTTTTAAAACTATAAGCTTTTTCGACAGCTGTTGTTGGTTAATTTGGGACTGAATCAATGAAAACTAAAATGGCAGGTGATGAAGGCAGAGTGGGACCCTGCTCATCTGAGCTATGCATTCCTTCCTTTCTCCTTTGGGGGAAATCATGTTGGCTAGGATGCTTCCTCATATAATCAGGAGACTGGGAAGATTTTATTGCTGACTGCTTTTGGACATCTTGTTTCTCTTTATCTGCTTCTAAAGACTTAGAGGCTCCAGGTAGATGGGACTGATCTACTGAATCATATACCAGAATTTATCTGGGATTTGGGGTTGTGAGAAGTGGGGGTAGGAAAATGTAGATACCTCACTTTACCACAGCAACTAAAGATCTGATTGAAGTCAATGTTAGGCTGTAAGTTAAGAGACAGAGGGTCAGGTTTTATTGAAAGTATAACAAATTTGTATTCAAGATAGAACTGTTACATAAGCCATTACCTTCAACCCTAGGGACAGACAGAATTTGTGAAAGTTGCTATGGTATTTTCCATAGCAGTTATTATAGATACATATTTTAACTAATTTAGTAATATATTTTATGTTACCTAGAAATAAATGCATTTTAGTAATAAAGCCCAATTATTTAGTTATTTAAATTACCTTATCTTTCTTTTGGGTAGACTGTCAAGGTGGCTTATAACTTCTTTTAAATCAATTGTGAAAATAAACACAGAAGCAGTTAAGTGGGTAATCACTCAGACAGAGAAACGATACGATTTTTGTCACCAAAAGCTGCAGTGAAAAAAGCCTTGACTGATACTGAAAATTTGACACTATGGGTGCTTTCAAATAAATCTGAGAAAAGAGCACCTCCATGATCTGAGCACTACCACACATACCTCTTTGCAGTGGTCTGCCACCTGAGCTTTTACAGTGGGTTTGTGTGGAGTCCTAATCTGATCATTACACCACACCCACTACACTCTACTGACACTCCTTTTTGCCTTGTTCGGTTATCCAAGGCAGAAAAAATAATTCAACTCAAACAATTTCCCTCAATATAAAGGGCTTCGCAATCTATAATAGCCCATAATTCCGGCTAGGTAGCATGTATTTCTCTTCTCCACTTGAACTTGCTTTGAGTGTCTAGGGCTATGGCTATGTCATTGTCACAAATACTGGTTTGCAGTTTTCTGTAGGAGGATTGCATGCATCTGCATTATTTCTGAATGCTCTAGTTTCCTTTTTGAAAGAGATGCCTTCAAGGTTGTGCTTGATTTGTTACATACGGAGTAACTTTTTATAAGTTATGCAAGTGTGTTAATAAGTAAATATGAATTGCTAACCAAAATATTTAGTAGAAGCTGTTGGGTGTAATTCTACTGCTGAAGTCAGTTGCAAAGTTTCCATTTGACTCTAGAGAAGCATGATTACAGCCATTTTGACATTTGACTTGTGCAGTATTTTAGATACAAGCTTTGTGTAGTTTCTGAAATACCAGGCAATACTGAAGTACTAATTATTAAATTATGTGAAAGGAATTCAGATTTGCATATGATACATAGGGTTGGATCTAACTAGATTTTCTGCTCGTGAAAAGCAAGGGGGGTGCCTCGTTAACTACCAAAAAAGCTGAGCTGGGGACCATGGGACCTTCATGGACAAAACCATATGAAATGGGGGATGTACTAAGGAGAGGGATATTAGGTGAGATTGGGTAATAAAGCTGGCAGGATCCAACCCATCGCCTTTTAAATGCAGAAATTTATTCAGAAACATCTTCTCAAAATGATTGTTTTACATTTGTGTTTTGGAATAGCACCTTTTATAAAACTTGACAATTATTATTTTTGTTATATTCCAACACAGACTTAATTTAATGTTGGAATAGATTGCTGAATTTATTTCTACCTCTCTGTTGTAGGAAAACTTGGAATCTATGATGCTGATGGGGATGGTGATTTTGATGTGGAAGATGCCAAGATTTTGCTAGGCAAGTACACACTTGTAAAATTCTATCTTCAATATTATATTTAGTCTAATGTTTATATATTATGCTACTGTATCAGTTTGTGTTGTAAAATTAAAACGGCAAATAGAATGCAATCTGAACTCTCTCCTAATATATTTTATTAGTAGATTGTGCTGCAATATTATAGAATGAAATGTTATTGAAAAACCCTTTGGGAGTATGCATGCTCTGGAACAGAGAAGACCTAAATCAGAGCACCATGTTCCTACAAGTCTGTCCTTTAAGAATTCTGTATAGTGTTAGGAAAAAGGCATGGTATTTATGTTGCTGGCAAACTGACATCCCGTTGAAATGATTCAAAATAGTTACTTTAGCTGATGGACAACTGAATTACTACTGCTGTTATCATTTCATCATTGCTTTTACTGCTAACACTTCACGATAAGTATTTGAAGGTGAACTATTCTTTGGAGCTATTCTTTGACCCGCCCTTCTGAATACTGCAGTCCTATTATATTTAAAGGGAATATTCCTCCTCCCATGCATTTTACAGTACAAAATACTGATCCCATCAGTTACCACCGATAAATCCTTTATTAAGAACTCCAGCCCATTTTTGGCTGCTATTGGGCAGGTAGCCAGAATGAAACTGTGCCATGGCTTCCAAAAGGGGGTGGTCTTTATACCCTGAAGTCTCAACCTGTGGATGGTTCCAGCCACTGGAATACATTTTTTGTTCAAGAAAATCTGAGAATTATTCATTCTTAAAGAGGCATGAGCTGAAACACACATGGTGGGGAACTTGCGTGGGCCTGATGCATGATGAAACTGACATGTTATAAGAAGTTATAATCACTGACCAATAAAACTCTCGGAAAAAGAAATTTGCAAAAATATACTTCTGAGTACAGCACTTCTCTGATGTATAGTATAGACAAGAGGAAATAAAAGAAAGGACGCTGGAGAAGTTGCAAATGTGCTGATGAAGAATGTGTAAGATGAGCTGATTAGGAAGGAAAACTAATGAAGAAATGTTAGAACGGATATGAATGAGAACTGATGCAAAATCTGAAGAAGAGTGATGAGGGATGATGGGGTACTACTCTACGATATAATTGAGGGGAAACCGGACAGAGCCGTAACAATTGGAGGACCTCTGTACAGTCACTTGAACCAAGTTAAAGAGGAATAAAAATGAAGAGCTGAAGACTGAAAAGACTTGTACAATTTTAAAAAATGTGAAAAGTTGTTGAACAACCTATAGATAAAACATGTGCGGGAGGGGATAAAACAAGCAGCCTCATTAAGTGGCTTATGAAAATGAACAAGGTCAGTAGTAATAGAATGGTAGAGAAGCTGCACAGGGAAAGGTAAAAAAGAATATAAGGGTTTAGAAACTGAAGGGCCTTTAAAGGGGAGGGAAACAGAGAGGTCTTGGGATCCAGTCTCTCTCCTGCAGATAAATTAAATTGGCAGTAATGTTGTCATCCTCTTCCCACATTAACATGCAATGTAAAGGTCCAGTACTTCATTAACTGTTTCGTTCACAGTAGGGAAACTAATGTGACTAATTCATACATTTTGTAGAGAGCCTTTAATTCATCTGTGACACTGTACTTGCCACACATTTTCCAGTGTCTTCAGTCCTCTTTATTTGACGATGTCCAGATAGTGAATTTCTTTTATGTATTCTAGAAGTTTACATTTTTTAAGTCACAGCAAATGATAATAGAAATAGCAAATAAATTAGTTGGTTCACAAATATCCCAGATCTCTTTATTTCCATGGAACAGGAATATGAACAAAAAATGAAGAGGCCCCAGGTTTGCAGAAAAATCTGAAATTTGAAGAATTTTTTTTAAAAGATAGGGGGACCAAGAGAAGATTGTTGGCCATTGTGACAGGCCCTTTCTACCAACTGAAGGGACCTCTTATAATTTTGGGGAACCAGGTTTGTTTGGACCTGTAAACCTTCTCCTCAGTTACTTACTTACTTAATTATAGAATCATAAACAGCAAACCCTCATCTCACAAAAGGAGAATCTAAAAGTCATACTATGAAAGTTATATAAATTAACAACAGCTGCCAGAAATTTTGCCACACACAAAGTGGTTGGCTTATCTTTATCTCTGAGTAATCAGGTTGATTTCACTTCTGAAGAGCCAAAGTCCTGATTAAATAATAGAGAGATCAATTCAGCTCTTAGATCTGAAAATCTGGGCAGTCAAAAAAATATAATCCTCAGAATTGATTTTGTTGCCACAATTACAGAGTCTGTCTGAATATGGAATTCCATTGAAATCTTCCTAACATCACCGCTAAAGGTAGGGCATTCAGGCGAGCAAGCATGAATACCCTTCTATACTTTGGACAAGTTAGCTCAGGTAAATAGTTTGGCATTTTTGTTGGGGGGAGACTGCCTCCTGAGAATAATGAACACACTCTGCAGGTTCTAATCAATGCATTCTCATAATCAAAGTCCCTCAGACATCTTTTAATGAGCTGGGTCAATTCTTGCCTATGCATGGTTTCTGTCACATCATAGGTAATTCCCAAACATGATAATTTATGATCCAGTAATCTGTCCCAATCACTTATGTGATGGTCCAACTTGACTAGTCCAAGGATGCTTGATTTTGAGTTAGATTTTAGGATTCTAATATTTATACTGAATGATCCCAGGCCTTTGTTTCAAAGGACGTCTCCCCAACTTCGGCTCTCAGAGCTATTCCAGACACACATTGAGGAATTCCCAAAACATTGTATAGGAATCTTAATAGTGGTCTGCCGATATTGTCTGTTACTGCTCTGATCCATACCCTAGCAGCATATAGCATCTGCTCAGTGACTCTAGCATTAAATGCTTAAATTTAATAATTTAACAAATTTAATAATTTAATAAAATTTTGAGATGGCCTTCCCAATACTCATAGCAACTCTTCTCCTCAGTTACAAGAGGTTATTAAAGTAGCAAAAGTAAGGGCTTTGGGTTCAGTACCATGAGCTAAATGTGTGGCAAGAACACAGATCACTGAGACAACAGTTGTGTGCAAATACCAAAAAAAGGTTTATTTATTTACAGGTTGGTTTTAAAGAACAGATCAGCAGCACATGTCTGCTCTTTTCTCAGGCAGACCTAAACTATGACTGCACTCTCCCTGAGTCAGAACTGAATTGCTGCTGTGCTTTCCTCCAACATTCCATCCCACTCTGTAAGGTGAATGGATGCAGGAGCAGCCCTCCCATAGGCTGAGGGATGAAACAGCTAAGTGACTGTTTTTCCCTTTAGAGGGAGGACAGCCTCTTGTCTCTCAAAGCCTCCATACAGAGGAGGAGTGGTGGGGAAGCATGAAGATATCACCACTGCCAAGTGGGCAGAGAATGGATGAGCTCAGGGAACATGGGCAGGGAACCAGTTTACCAACCAAGGTAGCAATGAAGGGAAGAGAAGGGCCAGCTGAGCAAAGCAGGCCATGGCAGCTGTAGAGGCCACATCAGAGAAGAGAGGTGCTGGTGGGGACACTGGTGGACTGAGCAAGCTAGTGAGTGAGGAAGCAGGAAATGGGAGGAAGAGGCCAGGGGAATGATGGAGCCAATGACACTTCAGCCAGTGGGGAGGAGCGGACTGGGCAGTGGTGCAGGCAGGCAAGTGAGGGAGAAGGAGGTGGCAGCACCAGCAGAAGGGCAGCTGGGAAACAGGCAATGTGTTGGGCACATTGTTAATTAATTCTAGGTTGTGATGTAGAAATATTTTATTGCTTAAGTACATAGCGTGTACACTATTATCCAATTTTCCCTCCAAGTAATCCCTGTATATGTGAATATGAAGACGTAGTATTCTAATTACCAGTATTCAGATTTAGATAGGGTTATAAATAGTATGTGTATCATATGGGGTTTGTGGCTGTATAAATAATACTGTAGTTTATAAACAAACAATATGAATAAGACTTGCATGCTTCAACTGATGTTTTGTGAGAACCTTAGAAGTAATACTCTGTGCCATTTGTGATGCACACTTGTTTTGCTTTATTCCTGTTTTTCAATCAAAAATTATTTCCATTTGATTCTTGCCCTCTCTTTTGATGTTCTCCTCACAGCCAGCAGGAGGGGGTGGGACTTCTGCTATATCTGGATCCAGGCAGTATGGAGAGGTGCCTTGGCTGCTCTCTGGCCTTTATCTGGCCTCACTGATGGCAGTTAGAAACCGGAATTCATTGTTACTTTTAAAGCATTGCTATCTTGGGAGATTTTAATATGCCAGCTGTTCTTGTTTCAAAATGGATACACCCATTCTGGCAATAGTGAAATAAAATTATAATGTTCTACACGGAAGGGTTTTTTAAAAATCTCATATAATAATGAATAAATAATGATAACTACCAATATCAGTTCCCCCTTTGGGTTGGGGGTGGAGCCTTAGGAGGTCAAGGTTTGAGGAGAGAAGCAACCTCAGCAGGATATAATGCCACAGAGTTCATCTTCCAAAGCAGCTATTTTCTCTAGAGGAACTGATCTCTGTCATCTGGAGGTCAGTTGTAATTTTGGGTGATCTCCAGCTCCCACCTGGAGGTTCGCAACCTTAGTTCCTCTGGAGGAAATGGCTGCTTTGGGTGGAATTTACAGCATTATACCCTTTTGAGGTCTTTCCCCTCAATGCCCCCCCTGGCTCCACCCCCCAAATCTCTAGGAATTTCCTAAGCTGGCAGCCCTATTTCCTTCCTACCCAACAGCCAACCTACCATTATCTGCCCCTCTGTCTTAAGGTTTCTCTCTCTCAACCCCTGCAGCCTCTGCCTAGGAAAACTGTGGCCCACTTGAGTGGTGCCAGCTACTGGGCCACTTGCATGATAGGTAACCCTCAAGGACTTGTGGGAGGGGGGCACTGCAGTTTCCCCTGTATCTGTCTCCCCAAGCTATTTCCTCTTTACATCCTGGCAACCCCCATATCCTCTGCCCTTTCCCTGTCTTCTTCTTTCCTTCAGAGCCATTCACCAACCTGCCTTTTATCTGCCATCCA